CTTCGTTCATCTTCTGAACACAAATTAAGGTATTTTTGATGAAATCTGAGATCTCTCAGACCCTGCATAGACAGCAACACAGCTGTAATGTTCCCAGGTCCAGAAACGTAGTAAGAACATCGTTAAAACAGTCCATGTGACATCAGTGGCTCAACTCAGTTTTGCGAAGCTACGAGAATACTTTTTGAGCGCAAAGAAAACAAAAATAACATAATTTATTCAACAATTCTTCTCCCCCGAGTTACGTCTTCCGCCATTTTGGAGAGTACCCAAGAGCGTAATCGGCGTAATCAGTGTTGTTTACGTTCGGAGGAGAAAGCGCGCGCATGAACGTAATCTGCGTAATCAGTGTTGTTTACACTTAGGGGAAAGTGTGCATATGTGTTGTGATACTCTAATAAAAAAATATTGATATGTATAATTTGGAGTATGAGAAAATCAGTATAAGCTTTTCCAGTGTTGTGATCATTATTTTAACCCTTTCACTGGTAAATTTAAAATATTCTAGCGGTCCCCCCAGAGTGAGTTTTTTTTTAGGCGACCGTTATTTTAGAACGTTTCCCCTTACTGTTTCCATGGCGATGCGTCATGATTGTCACGTGACACACCGCGGCCACAATAACACTGTATGACAGATGGATCGCTTTTATTTCGTTTTTCCTTTTTTATTCAAAATATTCATAAACTTGTTTACCATATCATCAACTATCTGATATTCCGATTCACAAATATGTGTAAATGAGTGTGTTTTGTAGTTTAAAAAACATTCTAAATGATCTTGATCGTGATCTGTAACGCGAGATGGGCGCCGCCATGTTTGTTCGCGCTAGACACCTGGGCCGTTTCTCAATATGCGTTCTTGTCTGTACTTGTGTTCTTGTGGACTTGTGAAACGTTACAAATAAAGCTCATTCTGATTCTGATTCTGAAATACCCGGATGTGTTCTTGCTCCGCCCCTTTTATCAAGAATGCATACAGAGGTGACTTGTGCGAACTTGTGTTGTTCCATTTACGTTAAGAAAACTTTCCTGGCTAACCAACAGGGAACGTTCTGGGAAACAAAAATTGTTAGCTGAGTAACTATAGTACTCCGAGTAGTTTTTGAGAGGAGTACTTTGTACTTTTACTTGAGTACTGTTTTGACACCAGTACTTTTACTTGTAATTGAGTATTATTTCAGCAATGTAACAGTACTTGTACTTAAGTACAAATTTTCAGTACTTTTTCCACCACTGGTTTTTGGTAGTAAAAATGCCGTTATTTTTCTTCATAGTGATTTTCAGTGTTAATTTATAAACATTTAAAACATACCTACTAGGGTTGGGTACCGAACTCGGTACTTTTAAGGGTACCGACCGAATTTCGTTGGTACTACTGAGTACCGATACCGATTCACGTTAAATCAATCAGTGCCAAATTTCGGTACCTGAGAACGCATCTGGGTGCATACGCTACAGAGAGAGAAAGAGAGACCCGG